GGCATTCTATTACGAGTCTCGAAAGTATTCTCTCCAAGTACCACGTCTACAACTTTCGTTGAATTTTGCAGTTGTCCTCGCCGTTTTGTCGTTCCTTATTATGCCATTTTTGACCCGGAAACTGTTAATACACATGAGTAAACAACGTAGGAATAAATTTTATGCCAACAAATACGAATGAACCAGACCAGGTTCGGCTACTTATTGTGTTCACTCTCATTTCATGGAACTTAAATTACTACCAATGTCGAAAGATAAAAATCTATGCATATGTATTGTCACCACATCTGAACTTGAATTACTCAACAGGAAGAAGAATTAGAAGTTCAGTTAGATTATTGGAGGGCTTGTCCTCACCAGTGTCGGGCCTAATGTGTTTGTTAATTCGTGTAGTAGTTGTTTGCCTTTTTTCGGCTTAGGAGGTGGGACTTTTTGTAGGTGCTGCTGCTTTTAGCCTCAAAATTGGGTAATTCAACTATTTATGTACGTAATATGTACACGGCAATCATGTAGTGATATTGGAAATGCATATAAATCAATCTACAAAGTAAATTTGCTCACTAGGCAGTAGTACTATCTGCAAGAAATTGCACTAACAGCGATGTAGAGCATTATGCAGCAGGTTTATAAGGATATGAGAGGTAGTTGGAAAGACTAATTACGTAACAATATCAGCATTACTACAGCAGAGTAGGTATTTACGTTACCACTGTGCAAAAATGTCATAGTGGCGAATGGATCGCAACGACCAAGAAGAAAATTCTACGGAGTGACAAAGTATTAACCACGATAATTCACACGTCACACCAATACACCCAAAGATATTCATGGATTTGAAAGCAGAAGAATTGTAGATGGATGAATTGGTGTAGCAGTGGTAAATTTCATAGAGTACTTATAAAGAGTGCAAGTATCTGAGACAGTTGCTGGATTAACAACGAGTAGTGCTTGCATGAGTATTGATGATAACTTTAATATGTTGGCAATGGAAGAGCATAAGTCTTTAGTTAATACCATTTTTTGCCTAGATAAATCGAAGTAGTTCTGAAAGAAGAAGGTTAAGTGGCGGACCAAATTGATGAAAAAGTGCGACGGTGACCTTCAGCTGTCGCCTCAAGGGAAACTGCATTGCTCGAATGGCAAAGGTGGCAGGGTCAAGCTACTAAGCGCTGTTGCCCTGTTGAGCCAGCCGGTAGTGTGCTCAATGGTTGAGAACTACCGATGTGGGCCAGGCACGTGGGCCTTGCGTCAAGTAACTTGAGATACAATAGATTTCATGACAGAAGTAACCAGTGCAAAGACAAATACATAATTAGCATAATACATGTTGAAATAAAAGATAGAGAATATTCCACGCGAATCCGTCGCTTATCCCGACACCCGCCCGACTTATTATGAACCTTAGGCTGGGAAATTCGTTAACTCTAGAGGTAACAATATTAGAGTACACAAGAATTTGAAGACTAGAAATGCGAAGAAGACATGAAGGAATAGTTAGATAATATGAAGTGAGAGATATAATATAATGTGCGTTTGATCCGTTTTGTCTATAGGGATTCGTCGGTCGATTTGTCAACACTGCACGTGGGTCTTGTATCAGGTAATTACAAATACGAGGCTAATGATAAAATAGAGAGTAAAATACAAAATAGAGAGTGTTCTCTACAGTGCACTGAACACGCTCTATGTCCAGCACATTGTCCAGCCGTACTTTTCGCATGATCATCATATATAGTAGTACTCTGCTCTAAGCATGGTGAACTATGCCAATCGCATCTCGTGACCTAAAAATCGTTTCCAGCTGCGAATGTGAATGTGATAGGGGACGTATAACACTGTAGTAGTCAAGCCGGTCATCATGAGCACGGTGCTGGTTCGATCGCGACACGAAATGAAGATCTTCAGGCAGAAACCACCCGTAAAATTTGGAGACCTTCGTGGTAATGGGTGCAAGAGAAGTGAATCGAATGTGAGAATTGCTGGGATCCACACAGAAGTCGTGATAACGTGTTAAGTGAAATAAAATAAATAAAATGAGAAATAAATGTGACTGGTTGACTAGGTGGTCATCCTAGAACAGACTTTGGTCCGCCCAGAATCACTGTTCTCGTCTATTTCTCGTCGACTTTTCTCATCACAATGTCAGATGTGTACTCAACCCAGAGCAGGACGCGTATCATTAGGGCAAAAGTGAGCGTAGACTTTCGGGTACGCCGGTTGATCGGTGGCTTCAAACGGCCCGAACACAGCCTATGTATTACTCCTTCGCATGGTTCTTCCTCCGCATCATTTTCCATATTTATGAAGTGTTGTAACCATATTTAGGATGCGTCGTTTGCAGTCGAAGAACCATCAATTTTTTTCCTTTTCCATCGCATCGTGGGTTCGTCACCCAGAGTACTTATTCAAGGCGGGTTCACTCTTTGGTCAACGAGCGCGTGCTGAAAGGGCTGAATTCGCTTCGAAGCTTAGACTAACTACTCCTAAGCGACAAAGGCTAGGATAAGGGGTTAGCGATATTCTGGACAGACTTCTATAACCATAGGTACGATTAAGGTGTGGGCCATGCGAGATAATCCCTGTCGGGATCCTGTTTCAAATATTTGTGCCTCATGCAAAGCCCTTGAAAACACTGATGGATAGTCCACGTACAGTTGACCCAAGCAGTCACTCCTCTCTGGCAGGATGACCATGCACGAGGTGTACTACTAGTTTGGGATTTTTCCCTCTTCGAAATTTTCATATATGTTGCAAAAATACACGTAATTTTCGGTTTTCAACTCAAAGGAAGTTGGCTGTGATCGAAACGGCCTTGTATTTATGCTTTCTTCATTATTTCGATCATAAATTGGACATCAGAGAACAAAAGTCCCGGTGGTTTTTCTCCAGCGGGTTTCGGGGACCACATTTTTCCGTTGTAAATTTCACACTATGGCGAAAAGTGGTAGAAATCACATGGTCATCTATCCGCTATCGGAATATTATGCTCCAAGGAATCCTACGAAATTTATTAAGAATGGCTCCTTCTTGATATAATGACGTTTCAGCCCTCTTCTCGAGAAACTCGTTTATACTAGTGGAGGTGAGGCCCGAAATTCTCATTAGAGGAAAGGCGTCTTCTGCGCAAGTTCTAGGTTCTTCGTCACACTATTAAAACGATTTTCATTTTCAACTCCGTCGGTTTGACTCTGCTACAACGAAATTCTATACGGACTGCTCGAGCGCAGTTCGATACAAGAACACATCCCACACATGATGCTCCCCGATGTAACAATGAGAACAGGAAACACAAAGCAAGGTAGAAAACTTCAGAATAGTGTGTAAAGTGTATATTCAAAATGTTCCATACGCTATCTTAACTTCTAAGATCACTGGTAATTAGACATAAGGACCAATTTGCCCACGTTGTCCTTTTCTAAAGCTATACCACCTTCCATATTACTTATTTGAATACTTGGACGGTCCGACTTCACTGATTGTTCGAGCACTAGGATAATTTCCGCTCTCCGGAGATCTGCCGGTTTAGCCACTGCGGTTCCCTGGAGTTCTGAGGTCAGCCTGACCAAAATCTGCACCAGGTCTTCACCACCAGAAACAGTCACAGAGCTTGTAGATTGGAAGGAGACTTGCCACCATGCGACTTTGATACCAGGACGGTAGTGGATCCTGGCATTGGTTTACTCTTGGCTGGGGTTCCTGATGGAAACGCTGGACTCCTCAGCTTAGGAGACCTTACCGGGGGGAAGAATCCCCTCGCTGTACATCGCAGTCCGACACCCAGGAATATCTCTCAGCCACGATGAAACGGTTAACCGCTGAGGAGCAAGGCCGCCACCGTATGTAGCCGTAATGTAATGACTTGAAAGTATCATGTAACAAGAAGGGATTGCACAAACTTCTCCGCCAACTCCAACTTTTGTTGGGCTTATTTCGCTCGATGTCTTGAAATGAAGTGATGAATAAATAGAGTATCCCTAAACACCGTTGCACCAAACCTCTGAGTTATTCTTCTTCTCGTTTCACACACCCTCCTGTTTTTACCGCCAAAAATTTTCCACCGAACAACAGCACTAAGTATTCCTTCTTTGATGAACTTAACGCGAGGTTGATAAATATATTTTTCAACCTCGTGTAAGCTCATCAAAGAAAGAATACATATTGGTTAGCCACACCGAGGTTAAAGGAAAGTCGGCTTCGAGATAACACTAAGTGTTCAACACATACTAAACTCGACATTGTTAACCAGACCAGGAGACTCTAAAAATCTAGCATAATATCCCAAAATGTTTAAAAATAGTGATGGCGAGAGACTTGATGTGAGAAGAGCACTACCCACCGACAATTTTGTTCTTTATCTCAAACTCTCCCTTAGCTACCCAATTTCCGCCACTTCTCAGTGATTTGGATGCACACTGAAATAGCACTGAGTACTGTAACAACAGCAGATATTTATTGACCATAATCTTTCCTTTTAAACGTGCTCGACAGCATAGAAATCATATCTGAGAGCATCATTTGGTGCATGAAAGCTACACCGTGTCTTTTCGAACACACCATGTACTTCTAGAAGTCTAGCAGTTGATTATGGGATGAGATCTATGTGAAATGCAATGCATAAAAGTCCCTAAACATCAAATAAATGTATGGAACAGGCACCAATATATACATAACTGCACTAGAGGCCAACCACATTATAACAGTTCCCTTGAAAACAAAGTCAAACATGGTCAAACTGCATTAACAGTGAATAAAGCGAGTAGCTAACGAATTTAAGAAATCTGAGCAGACCATCCTTTATTTAGTTCGCATTCTAAAAAATGAGTAAAGTGTACATGATAATAATGGATAAATAAAGTCAAGTAACAACATAAAGTGCACATGACCTCTACGAATGGTAGTAATAAGTCATGTAGAAAGAATACCATCCTATTGTGACAGTGTCACACATCCTAACTTGTAAATTTATTGCCCATTTTCGTCTTCACTCAGGATTCCAATGCTCATTTCTCTTGCATTGCTTTCAAAGAAGCTTGTCTTTCCTTATAAGCCAAGAAATCTTCCATTTCTTGATGCTGCGACCGCGGCTCCATATTCGACCAATTCTTAAACAAAGTCAGAGCATTGAAAATATGTGGTAACTCAGTACAATTCTCACCCACTGATTTTTTAAACATGACCTCCACTCGTTTAGGAGCAGTAAAAGCTTGAGGTGGATATGGTTGTTGAATAAACATGTGCAAGGAAGAGCAAGACCATAACACTAGAAGACCTTGACAGCTTCATTCAGAAATCTAGCCAGAAGCAAACCAATGTCTCAATAGATTTGCCCTTTTCTAGTTAATCTTTCAGATTTTGTCCATTACAAAGCTTAACTACATTTAATATGTGATCTCTCTAAGCTATTCAAGCACCACAAGTATAAAGCCTCGGCATATGGCATCCTATTAACGAAGTCCACGAATGAAATTTGGAGGGATCGCTATACCACGATAAAGGGGTCAAATTAGTGGCGCTGTGTAGACGCTAAGTATGCCTCTTCCCAGTTCATGCGGACCAGTAACAGGAGCGTAATACATTCTCTGCAGATCACAACGCCTCTTGCAAAAACCCATATGCTATGCGAGTCTATTAACACAGTCTCTTTTGAACACCAGCAGAATAAATGCAAGGTGAATTCCACGTGATCAACGACATCGTAAAAATTGCGGTGTCCAGTAGTCGCATAAAGAGTTGCAACGACGTATAACAATAGACATTTCAATGAGACATTGTAAAGGATAAAGGATAAGACTTTCGACGTTGATCAATCTCTGAGGGATGTGCCATGCAATGCACGACTTCACCAAACATCGTTATAGGTGAGTGAATAAATACGTGGCTTAAACAATGAGTGGAGGTGGCCTACTGATGTATCGAGCCATTGCTGATATCCTCCTAGACAAGTTTGGTACCAATTGGCCGACCTCGGAGAGATAGAACCCTTGGTGACGCGCCAGATCGATCCCATGTATATTACGCGGTGCGTCGACCACTGCGCCGCTACGCGGGCCCAATAGGCGTCACAAGAAAAGAACATTAACTACCCACCAACTTACTACTTTAATTTGACAGTTGGGAAACGAATGTGGTACAACTTATCAAAAACAGTCAGTAGCAAGTTATTCATCTATCTTAAGTTTTAATAGCGTGCGACATAGGATTGCTAACATTTCTGCTTGATAAATGTGCTGTTCTATTAAGAAATGACCTTCTGTAACTCACAAAGTTCCTTAGTCCTTCACTCTGCAATTTATGAGCGGGAAAAAAATCTGTACAAATACCGCTCTGCTTTACCCAGAATGACTATGGGTTAAGCACCTACTGCATATTGAAATCCGGCTGCCCTTTTATTTTTATGCAGTAGATATCTGAAGAATCCATGATGTTACTCTCAATTCTTTGATAAAACTTACAAGGTCACCACATGGGAGACTCAGATTGAAGTCAATGGCTATCTTTGCACCTTCCATTTGGGATGCCAGCTGAAGGGGGAAGGAAACAGTTTGCACATAGTTTTACAAGCGTAGATCGTTCTCTTCCCAAGAAATAAGACCAGGAAATCCTCATCAATACTTAAATCAGAGATAACAAACTAATTCACCACTTCAAAAACAGGTCTCTAAGTGACTAAAACCATACGAAAGATTTAGTGAGGCCTCGTTACGTTGACGAATACTGCTACATTCACGAATTACCATCGAGAGATTGTAAAAGCGAGATAAGCTTGAAACGGCTGAAATCATAACTCCGCATACGAAATCATCTCAAATGTTAGAGACAGCTGCAAATTTTCAGGGATAAAACAAAAACAGAGTGGCGTAGTACAACATGTAACAGGTAGTTGTTACCTTAATCATCCTCGCGGTTCTAAAGGTCCCGTACAGCACTAGAGCAGCTGCACCACACAGACCAGCAGAGAGGAAATGCGGCCGGAAGCGTGATATCTTGGACGTCACCATCCTGGAACAACAACAGGAACAACACGCCCGCGTGAAAATGGATCCAGAATAAAACTCCCTTCCGCCACACCGCTCCAAATCGCAGATCGTAGTGGTGATTTGCGTCCACTGCATGGAATACGACGCTTTAACAAATGGTTCCCTTCAAATTCTGGTCACCTGCACTTCGGAAGGTATTCCCACGACCGACCTTCTGTTTACACCGGCAATGGTCACGTAATTCTTGATATTTTTGTTGAGCAAACACCAGCTGTTACCTTGTTCTTTATTCCGGTGAAGGTGGCGTCTCTACCATATCGCCCTCAGAGTCTGGAAGGGTACCCTGATAGGCTATTTATTGCGCCAGACGCTTCAATAACACAAGCAGATCATGTTGTTGATCATGTGATTACCTTTGACATTCTCATCTTTCTGTTTGTGTTATTGGAGCGTTTGGCGTAACAATTTGCCTATCGGTGTACCTCTCCGGACTCTAAAGAAGACCATACTACCCGAAACCTCAGCTTTAACGGAATAAAGAATAAAGTGACACCTTGTGTTGGCTCGGCAAGAATATGGAGAATTATTCTGGTTGCTATTGCAATGTGTTTTCTCAGCATTACTTTCTATTCCCAACGAGATTTCGGCTTGCGTAATGCGACCTCACAGTAACTTTTAGTCGTCCTACCTTTTGCTTTATAAATCCCTCCGATTCAGAACAATATGACTGAAGAACGGTTCGATTCTATTCTATTTTCGTTGGCACAGCAGATGCCTGGCGGGGTTCCGGACCTCCTCGATACGCTGTTCGGGTTTCTTGCAAGGTAAGCGGAATAACTCTTTTAATGGTATGATATCATTTCTTCAAAAAAAGGACTTCCGAGTCTAGGAAGCCCCCGATTGGAAAAGTTGATTCACATGCTAAATCATCCCATCATATTGAGATCGTCCGATTGGCAGTGAACTTTCGAAAAAATAGAACATTGAGTTCTTAGTTGCTTATGCACCGTAAGCTATTCTAACAACTAAATGAAACTTATTTAATAATTTCTGGAAATGTGGTGATGGTGTGAAGGCACATATATGTGAAACTAACAAAGGTACTCGGATGCTTGGGTAGCCCGTCTTCACTGATTATGCGGGCCCTAGCATAATTTCCAATTTTTGGAGTCTTGGTGGTTTAGGCATTGTGGTTCTCTAGAGTCCCGGGATGAACTTTCCCTCAGATCGTCACCACCACAGTCACCTAGCTTATGGATCAGAGGGAGACCTGTCACCATTCGACCAGTTTGATGCTAAAACGATAGTCGACCTTAGTATTGGTAGTGGTTTAGTCTTTGCTGGGGTTCTTTTCGGAAATGCTGCACTTCTTCTCAGTTTGGGAGACCCTGCAGGGGGATGAATCCCCGCTGTACATCACAGCTTTACACTCAGGAATACCTCCCAGCCACGCTGAGGCGGTAAACCGTTGGGAGGGACTAGCAAACATGAGCACTGTTATTCTTGTTCATTGTTTACTGCCATAATTGAAAAGTGATGTAAATCCAACACATAAGTACATGGAGCACTTCTTCCTTTGGGTTGTTTGTGTCAATTTCAGTAATAATAAATGGCCTGTTCTTTCTTTTTTTTTAAGAAAAACTGATTTCTACTCTGGTGCGGGAATTGACGAAGCGCGATCGATGCTTCTGACATATTTCGACAAACATGGGAAGGAAGCAGCTGAGGTGATTTGGAGCTTCTGTCTCTACATCTTTGCATTGATTTCAATACTTCAGCCTCTTTTAATAATACTTTTCATTTATAGTTAGTTCATCATGAGCATTACGAATATCCATACCCTTGAGTAGTTCTCCGACTGCCTGTTCTGTTCATTTAGAAAGCACTCGAATTGAAAAAGAAACGATTAGAAGAGGAGAGAAAACTAGCAGCGAAGAGAGCATCCCAAAAAGCAAAAGAGGAGAAGGAGTTCAAGGTTCACAAACAATTTTCCTTCTATAATGCGGCTGAAATATTTGCAAAACTCCGGACCACTGGTGTCTGCGGCGGGGACCGAACGCGTTATTTTTTTTTTTTTCCGGAGGCTAACGCGTTCAACACCACACCATGCGAGTCCTTCGTTTCGCCTTTCTTTCAGCTGTGTTATTCACCTATGTGCTATGCTTTCTGCTATACCCTGCTACTTTCATGCTATACTTTGCCTCTGTTGATTTTTGTATATCAGTGTTTTATAAAAAATTTTTTTAGGCCCAAACAATGAACGAGAATAAAGTCGAGGAAATCTCAGAGGCTGAAGCCGCAGAGTTTGAAGAAAAGTTGTAAGTTTGACTACTGTTACCTGTTTTTTTTAAACTGCAAGTCTTTTGAATACAAAACTTGCAGTGGCGGGAAACGTGTCATACCAACTTCAAAAGACGTTCAAGAAGAGCAGACTGAAAAGAAAGGAACCGCCGACCATGTTGAGGACGAAGATAAGGGTAAAATTATGCCTAACCCCGGAAATGGAGCAGATCTAGACCAGTATCAATGGACTCAAACTCTGCAAGAAGTAGAGGTGACTCGTGCTTATTCTGACTTTACATCTTATCATCATTCTGATTGTCCCATTGTGCTGTGATCTTGCTATGTTTTCTAGATTCGCATACCATTTAAAGTTGGCTTCCCTTTGAAATCGCGAGATGTTGATGTTATCGTTGAGAAGAGCCACCTACGTGTTGGTTTGAAAGGACATGCTCCTGTTATTGATGGGCCATTATTTGCTCAAGTTAGTTTTTCCTGCACAAATCTCTGTTTCCAATTTATATTCTCTCCAATTTTAGTCTTTTTTTTTCTTTTAAACCATGTCGTCTTCATTATAGATAAAAACAGAAACATCGGCCTGGGTCCTTGAGGATAAACGAACTGTTGTTGTTTCTTTTGAGAAGGTAGGTTTGGTTGTGTTTATTTGACTTGAGCTGACAGTGGCGCTAAGTATTACTGGTTCTGCGTGAAAGTGAGATTTCGTTACGTTCACGCCAACGTTTTCAGATGAATGGAATGGAATGGTGGAGATATGTTGTGAAAGGAGAACCGGAGATAAACACTAAGAAGGTTCAGCCAGAGAATTCCAAACTGTCAGATTTGGACGGTGAAACCAGATCGATGGTCAGTTTATGATAGTCCTCTAATCCTCTACTTCGTCTCCGTCTGTTGATATGTATGGATTAGTTACATTTCAGGTTGAGAAGATGATGTATGACCAGCGTCAAAAGGAGCTTGGTCTACCAACAAGTGAGGAAAAGAAAAAACACGACATTCTCAAAAAGTAACTGTGTTGCTTTAGTTTTTTCCTTGTTTTCATCAATTCTTTAAGAACTACCCCTGGTCCACCAAGACTTCTATCTCTCGGGGATCGATAAATTGATACCAGACCTGTATGGGAGGATATCAGCATTGGCTCGATGCATCGGTAGGCCACCGCGAGTCATTGTAAAGGCCAGATATGCATTCAGTCAGCTCCAAACGATACTTAATGAAATGGAATGCATGGCGCATCTCTCAGGGTTTGATCAACGCCGAGAGTTTTGTCCTTTTATCACTTGTTTGTTTTTGCGCTTAGGTATTTGCATGTGCGGATTCTTTGATAGAAGTGTATGTTCTGTTTGCAGATTCATGGAACAACATCCTGAAATGGACTTTTCCAATGCGAAATTCAGTTGAACCACGTGATCGTTCTCACATGTTCTCTTTTTGATGGAGCTGTAAAGGCACTTAGAGACAGAGTGCGGAGCCACTAATCCATTTTAGTACATGCAGTCGCTTTTAATTTGTCAAAGTCATTGTTCGTCTTTTGTTGTGGTCTTTGTTGTTGAGTGATAAAGATACTCGTACGAGTGCGTTCACAAGAGGTATGATATAGCTAATGAAACTGTTTTAAAGGTTTAAATCTGCTTTATTTGCAACGTTTTTGAGTCAGTTTTCCGTTTTATGGGAGGGTGTGCACCTTCGTTATCAACAGCTGCTCGCTAGCTCAGTGGGTGGATGGCTACCTTTCCCACAACGAAGGCAGATCCGGAGTAGTTTTCCCTTCTTTTGTGTCCATCTGGATGTAACGAAAAATTCATGCACTGTACCGTTTTTATCCGAGCTAAAGGGTTTGACTTTTACACAGGGAGAATGCTCAGTATTTGAGCAGCCATGAATCTCCTTTCGACAAGGACAGCCTGTGCCAACGAGGTGGAAGTGGTTTAGAGGATAAAGTATTCGACGCTGATCAGTCCGTGAGGGATCCGCGGTGCGTTCGATGTCCTCAAGAATCGTTAGAGGTGTTCGATTGCATATCTGGCTTTTATAATGACTAGTGGTGGCCTACCGATTTATCAGAAGTAAGTAAATGGATACCGATGTATAAATTCGGTGCTGTTATCTTCCCAGGCAAGTCTGGTAGCAATTCGCCGATTCCGTAGGGATGGGAGGCTGTGGTCGTGGGATCGAACCTGCGGTAAAGTATATATAGCACGATGTCTTCAGCAAATACTCAACGTACTCTAGGAATGATTTACGTTTTGATTTTTGCGAAAGCAGCTAGTAGTACCATTGTGGTCCTGTCCATTCTCTATGTGCAGCTGTTCGTTTTGTACGACGCAATAGCGTGAGCGACCGTTCTGCGTACTTTGACCCCTTATGCATGCCGAGGCCTGCAACCTTGCTCTCCTGGTCATTCTTCTCATTCAATTCTTCTTCTTTCAAGTGTTTTGTACTGCAAAGGGGGGACCTGTCTCCTTGTCAGTATTTTCTTAACATGTTTATTTCTTTTCCTTTACAGACACCTAACTCCCAGAGGAACTAATGGCTACAAAATCTGGTGAGTTGCTGTCCCCTTATGTATTTTTGAAACCAATTATATATAATTAAGGAATAAGTCAGTGACTTGACGCTTACTCTTTTTCCACTGTTGCTCCTATACTTTCAATCTGCACATAGTATTCAACAAATTCTTGAACCTAAACTGAAAACTTGGTACCAAACATCTGCGCAGTTTGTTTTGTAAGTTACACGAATGGGACACTTCTTGTGGGAACAATTATTTGTTGACATGGGTCATGTAGAGCAGTGGTTAGAGCTTATTGCAACACGCACACACACTATGCTCGGTCCGTTCACGCGCCTAAGCTTAAGCAAGTCTTTTGGGACCGGCCAGGTGATAGCAGGCTTGTCTGGGAGGAAGGACATATATCCTTTGGCTCTCCAAACTACTAAGAAGGACAAACGTACATTCAGTCACCTTTAACGATTCCTTCTGATGTCGAGGAAATGGTGCATTCTTCAGGGATCGATCAACACGAAATGCTTATCCCTTCATTCTTTGAATCCTTTGTACACACGATACCTAACATGCTTCCCATACAACGCACTTGATGCGTTGATGATTGCCGATTTCAACATTATGTCATCATGTTCAAGCTGATATTAATCTTTATTAGTTGGCTTGGAAACAATTAGATTCTACAAATCTTTGCTTAAGATAGATAGAAGCTCTCGACGTTGACGTATGAGGGATGCGCCATGGATTCAAGTCCATCAAGCGTCGTTGGAAGTGGTTGAGTGCATACCTGTCCTTTATAATGGTCGAGCCAGTTCTGCTATCGTCCCAGATAGGTCTGGTACCAATCTGCCGATCCCGGAGGAATGGAGGGCTTGGTGGGCCAGGGGCGCGGGAATCGATCTTATGTGTGTCGCAGGACGCCTCCGACCACTGCGCCACACGCGCCGCTTGCTTACCAGATGAGGTTACTTTGTTATGCCAAGATGAAGTTGTCATCTGCTGGAGCCCACGACACATATTCCATGCACTTTTTTCTCACCATTGCTCAAATATCGAATCGGAGACCAGTTGAAGAACAGGGATTTCATTCAGCACGACACGACGGTGCTGCTGAGGTATCATCGGGGTCTGCGTTTTCCATTAATATGTCGGAGCTCTTAGAAATTTAAACTTAGTTTTAGGTTTTTGAGGAGTTTAGTTCTAAACATGTTTGAAACTGGAATAGTATTGTGTAGGATCATACATGCGATTAGTGATTTAAGCAAAGTCTCCAATAAAATTCTGTAAGTCCACAACACCAAGTAATCAGATACAAGGGTGAGAGGAAATGCCTTCGGCGTTGACAAATCGTTTATCCTTCATCAAACATGCTTCGCAAACCGGCTTTCCTTTAACCTCGACATGAATGATCAGTGTACCTTCTTTCATTGACGAGCTAACACGAGGCTGGTAAACAAACTTTGTTCAACTGAGGTTTCGACGTCTTAGTCTTCATCAGAGCCGATGATCCGAGTCCATGTCCACAGTCCTTTGTACTCTCGCTGTGGTGTCTTCATCGTCGTATCGAGTAGAGATCTTCCGCAGTGGAGCATCGCTTGAATGAGGCAATCCCACCCGGTAGGTCTCTTTTATACAGGACGGTTCTTGTTGATATCATTGTCTGATGATAATAACTTGCTTTTTCGTACAATCCATCCTACAGAAGTCCGTATCATTACTCGCTAGCACAAAGCGTAATAATACTGTACAAACTGACTTTCCTTCAACCTCGGTATGAGCTATCAAGGTACCTTCTTTCATTACCTGAAGACGATTTCGAAACGTTAGCTGAGTAAAGTTTGTTTACCAACCTCGTGTTAGCTCATCAATTAAAAGAAGTGCATTCATCAAACATCGAAGGGATGGGATGCACATCTGCCCTATGTAATGAGCTGGGATGGACTACCGATGCATCAAATCAGTGCAGCTGTCTTAACAGGCAAGGCTAGGACCAATCTACCAAGCCGGAAGAATGAAAGGCTTCATGAGCCCTGGGCTCGGAATCGGAATAACAACCACATAAGTATTGCATGGAGTCCTCTAACAAATGCGCTATATGCGCTCATTTGGAATACTTAAATGATCAAGAAATCATCGTGTGTTGTCGAAAAACCAATCTGGAGCGTTATGTGTCAATGGTGCTTTGTTGGCTGACCTGGTCAACCAATTTCGACCAGAGTATTGAGTAATCATTCCTACTTTCGTTGGAGGGAATTGTGATCGTGCAGACAGTTTTCAGGGGTCTTCATTGTGGGTGCGAAACGAGTCGCGTTCGGTACGTTCGGTGGCAAGCTGAAGAACCATTCGGCCACCGATCTCGGTGTCTTCGCCACTGTCGCAGCTCTTGAACACGCTGGTGCTAAAGCAGAGTCCATTGACCATGTCATATTTGGTTAGTGCAAGTTACAAGGTTCTGTGTTCGTAATTCAATAGAAGCAACGCCATATTCGTGTCACCGCTTTATTTCCAGGGATTCTTTTCAGAATTCCGTCTGAGAGAAGAGTTATTCACACATTCAGGAACTTCCCACAAAAGTTTTTGTAAAGGGTTTTAGAATTGAATAGAATGACTTGTCAAGGTTCTTTTATCGATGGAATGAGGGCTTTTGAAACTGCTTCCGTAATAAAATCATGTATGGCATACTTATAATGGGGGCGTTTAGTTTCTCATGAAATCATATGCCTTTACGACGTGTAGAAGTACTACAGAATTCTTCTATGTTACGAACACTTTCAGGAAACGTCGTAGCGAGTTCTAAAGACGGCATATATTTGAGTCGACATATTGGGTTGAAAAGTGGTATCCCTCAAAATGTAGGCGCACTCACAGTAAATCGTCTTTGTGGGTCGGGTTTTCAAGCCGTTATCAGTGCTGCTCATGTGAGAGGGTTTTCTAATAGTCACCTTGCACTGCATCTCTCTTTCTACATTTAGAAATTAGGCTTTCATTCAGCTTATCAGGCTTGGTGAATCGAAATTGGTAGTAGCTGGAGGTTCCGAGAACATGACACAAGTGCCATTCGCAGTGAGGAACGTGAGGTTTGGTACAGCTCTTGGTGCAAAGTATGAGGTAACTTAGCACTTTCTAATAAGCTTTGGCCTGCTAGGTGATCTTTCTAATTTCGAACATTTATCTTCTAGTTCGAAGACATGTTATGGGAGTCTCTCTTAGATCCCTATGCAAAACTCTCAATGGGACAAACAGCTGAGAAACTTGGGGCACAGTATAAGGTACAGCGAAGTGTACAATTTTACTGACTTAAACAACTACTTTGTCATTTTATGGAAAAGGTTCATTCTAATTTTTAATAGGTTAGTCGTACTGATGCCGATGAGTTCGCATTGCGTTCACAGCAGCTATGGGAAAAGGCTCAAAATGCTGGCTATTTCAAAGCGGAAGTAGCACCGATAACTGTGAAGGGCAAAAAGGGAGAAGAAACCTTTGAAGTTAGTTCACTTATAGCGTCGTCTTCCTGCAATTAAAACGTCCACTTTCCTCCTTTGATCTCACAATTTTTAAAATACTTCCATATTTATACATGGTGTACAATCCCATAGGGTCTTAATTCTTAGTCTAGTGCTTGGATGTATACATTAACTACGGTTTGTTCTATCATCCAGCGTTTGGTAGACCAATGACACATGCCGCAGCTAACATAAGAACTGCCGCCGTACTAGAAGAACACTAAACACAAGGCAGAAATCCGACCTATCCGCAAAAGCTGGCAGTTACCAGTACGGAGGACTTGACAAGCACCTTATCACGGTCCTCTCAAGATCCGACAAATAGCCACGCTCACTTAATATTCATTATTCACCATGCTAGTAAAGGCCCTTCCAACGGTTTACCGCCTTATTCTGGCTGCTATTTACAAACTGGAGACTCATCTCCACAGCAGGGTTTCCCAAACAGGAATCCGGGGTTTCCATCGGGAAGCCTAGCTAAGAGTAAACCAATACCAGGGTCGACCACCGTCCTGCTATCAAACTAGTTGCATGGTGGCAAATTTCCTCCTGATCTACAAGGGTAGCGACTGCCTGTGGTAGTGACCACCTGGGCAGACTTTGGCCAGGCTGACCTCGTGACTCCAGGGAAACACAGTGGCTAAATCAGCATAACCCCGAAAAATGGAAAATATGGTGGGGTCCGCACAGCTAGTAAAGACGGACTATCCATGTATCCAAGTAAGCCAGTGAAGACATGAAACGAGAATCTTTATCTGGGCCCACATAAGAACCTGAACTGCATGGATGACAGCTGCAAGATAGCAAATCAAATGCAAGTGCTGAGCCTTACGTGTCGACGAGGAGTTTTGGTAAATATTGCGTATTTTGTGGACATAAACGCTTGTGGTTTTTTTGTAAACAATAGACTTTTATTGATGAAACTTTCCTGCATGAAATTGTACACAGTACTCGTTTTCTTCTGAATTAATAGGTCGATGAACATCCACGGCCTGTAACAACACTGGAGTCGCTCGCCAAACTTAAGCCAGTGTTTCAAAAGGATGGCTTAGTGAACGCCGGAAACGCGTCGGTATGTGTAGGAGTGCATATTTTCTTGAGAGTCTTGATGGTTTGACTTTGGAAACGTGCTGTTTACTTGTTGAGGGCATATGTGATGGTGCTGCCGCGATGGTTGTGGCTGGTGATGAAGCTGTGGAAGAATATGATTTGAAACCACTTGTACGCGTAGTGAGCTACGCTGCAGTTGGTTGGTAGTCTTCAAAAGCGTTCATAAAAATCTCCACTCTCGACATTGAAATTTGACAGAATATTAATTGGAATTTTAAGGCTGTGATCCAACAATTATGGGAATCGGTCCTGCTCCCGCTATACGTCAAGTTCTTGCGCAAACCGGACTAAAACTTGGTGACATTGACATATTCGAGGTTTATCCTACTGTTGAATTAAGACTTCCTCCACCAGATTAGGTCTCCACAATTCCTTGAACGGCGCAGATTATCAATTTACGAGCACAGAAATGATTAGCATTGTTGAAATTGTTTCGAGGTAAATGAGGCGTTTGCTCCACAAACATTAGCGGTACAACGCGAACTCGGAATTCCTATGGAGAAACTGAATTTAAATGGAGGTGCAATTGCCCTAGGACACCCTCTAGGAGCTTCCGGAGCCAGGATTAGCGTGCATCTTGTTCACGAGCTTAGGTAAGTGATAAGATGAGGTTCCTTTGGAAGACTAAACATTACCAATCGTATTGAATTGTTGCAGACGACGTAACGCAAAGTATGCTATCGGATCCGCTTGCATAGGAGGTGGCCAGGGGATAGCCATACTCTTCGAAAATGTCAATTAACTACTACCATTAGCTTTTCTGTCAAATTCTATGGTTGTGTTTCTGAATAAGAAGAGCAAACTTGTGAGCTCGGCAATGAATAAAATGAAACCATAACTTTGCTGATGGCATCTAAAATCACAATGAAATCTGCCTTCTATACGTACTGATATCGTTCTGAGAAATGCCAGATTTCACATCTAGACCCGTTTAGAGTGACGACCTAAAAACTGTATTCATGTTTTTTTATAACCAGAATACAAAAACCTTATTCTGTCCAGCTCTTGTCAGCCTTTTCACAACATTATAGATAATAAGCGTGGGTGATCTAAAGTTCATTGGTATTATACTAAACAAAACATGTGGGTGTTCCCTTTATAGTTGTCGTTATCCACAGCATACAGTACAATTTAGCGAGAGACTGAGGGTCTTGCTTAGACACATATTACATATGGGGTAAAGGCGGTTAATGTTGTTAGTTACGATATGTTATGTTATGTTAGTTGATCAATATCGGGGTGAGTTACAATATAACCAAAAGAATGTAAATGTTTTGGGCAAATTCAGAATGTGGGCTGCAGTTTGAATTGACAATTAACGAGTACGAATCATTATAGCTTAACTTTTTCAAAAATTCGAATTTAAAAACTGAATAAATTAATATACATTGTAATTGCAGCAGGGTATGCTCACCCTCATAATGAAACGTGGCTATCAACAGTAGTTGAAAAGAAGAAAGAAAAATGGAAAGCAAAGGATGTAAGATCTCATGTGAGTACCGCGTATACAAAACGAAAGTCTGTTAGTGGAAGTGAGATCGCAAATGATGAAGTTTCTAAGTAGCCCATCAATGGTCGACTACACAAGTTCGTCTGTTATATGGAAGTCTACCGTCGTGCCTATAAAAATCATAATGGTAACTGAGCAGGAGCCGGTAAATCGGCAACGTAATCAAAATCGGGAGTGTTGTATCGTTGTGGGATCGACCGAAACTTGGATGATGATGAACAACGGAAACTGTCATGCACGGCACGTAGGAGGTTCGATATTTCGCTAATTGAAATGCCAGACCAGCTCTCCATTTCTGTAGACCAAGGAGTTGGCCCTGAAGAGCAACACTGTAGGAAAGTTCAGTTAACAGAACAGGTTTAAGAAATGACGTGCCTGCTTTTGGGCAGATAGGTGGATATACATATATTGTATATAAATTTATACATATATATATATACATTATATAAGCATATATGTATACATTACATACATATATGTATATACTCAGTACCCATACCAATGAGTTTTTATAAAATAAAGTATTTTCGCTCGTATTAACATGCTTAAAACAACTAGTTGGTTTCTCACCTAATCAAGACAAACGGAAGTTCGTAGATAAAACTGCAAAAAAAAACCCATCGACAGTAGTAGGACAATGCCATACAGTGACGACCTCAGAACACCACAGCACGGCTTTCTTGGGACTGCGGTAAAGAAATCCGTCAAAAAGCGATAAATCCGCCTTAGTGGCTAGCACACTGGCGTTCCTTCTCCGAACTCGGGTGAACAGATAATCAGTGACAACCGATCAAAACATCAGGTTACACTCAACGAACAGAACATGGGATCAAAATGATGTATACGACACGCCATGGTTTCCTTGTTTTGTAACTAATGCACCAGAACAGTCTCAAGAAGGCTGACATATGCGAAATAAACGTTGCCGTGGTGAAAAGACAGCCGTGAAAGCACTCAACACCTATGCAGAATAAAGCACTCAGCAGGTATGCAGAATACGCCACTGTTCTTCACCTAAGATGTCTGCATCGTAGATGCACCACGACCAAGGAGTTACAAGAGAAAAAGTGCTAATCTGGATACGACCGCAACACAACTGGTAACACATACCAATTATCGGACTTAGAACTGCAAGTGTTCAAAGCAGCTCAAAATTAGCATGAAGAACGAAAACAAGATTGTTGCAGACCCCACCACACTATTGAATTTATAATGGAGAAGTTCCATTTCAGTCTTTTCCAGTCTTCAAAACACTGGCTGCAGAAAATCATCCTGGATTTCTCACTTTGAAGTCCGAATGGGGTTAAAAGCACGAAAACTGATATACAGCACAATATACCATAACCGGCTTCTACCAACCTACTATTCACAATCTATTTAAATGGGACAGAATTAAAACAAAATAAGAATATTTCAAAGGATAAACAAACCTGTAAGAACATTGGCATAACAAAGGCATGCAGCAGCAATATACGACGGTCGGTACGCAATATAGCTGACTTCAAGGAGCACTAGATCGAGTAACATATTCATGGCGTTTATAGTTTTTCGAGATGCTCTTTGATGACGTGCGAATCGTCCACCGAACCACTGAGATGTAGGAGTGCCAACGATGAACCCCAGCTCATTCAAAATGACACGTTCCATTTGTGTTATCTGACAAAACAAACAGCATTGCAGCTGAGAAATTATGTAGAAGTAAACAGTACTAGTAAATGAAGAGAACTGTTGTGAAATTATGACTTGTACCTGCTCAGCCGTGTATGTGTCATCCGTGATGTATACAAACTCTTTGAGTTCTGGTGGATAGATCTCCTCGTATTTTCTAGAATAAATCACAACAAATATGAGCAAATCTCCTCCCATTCTTCTATCTCTGACTGCTTATAAAAGAATAAAAAGGACAAAGCTCTTAGTGTTGATCTATACCTGAGAGATGAGCCATGTATTCCACTTCATTAAGCAACGTTTGGACATGACTGAATACATATCTGGCCGTTACAATAACTCGCGGTGGCTGGCTTACCGATGTATTGAGTCAGTGCTGCTTTCCTCTTAGATAGGCCTCGTACCAATTTCCCCACCCCGGAGGGATAGAGGGCTTGGTGATCGATCCAATGTGTGTTGCAAGGCGCTTTTGAGCACTGCACTACACGAGCCCTTTTCACAACGTTCAATAATGTAAATAGACCACTTACGACGCTATCATCATAGCGGTGGTTCCAATAAGTTGAAGACGCTCACGGTTAGCACGGAATTTGGAAAGTGTACGATCAACCAATGACACGGCAAGATGGAATGTTTCCTTAAAACACGGCATCAGTCGGAAAAGTGCACAGTGAGATTTCGAAACCGACTTTCCTTGAACCTAACTAACGTATCACTAATCAATATGTATTCTTTCTTTGGTGGGCTAAAAATAAGTATCATTATCAATCTCGTGTAAGCTTATCAAATAAAGAATGCACAGTGAGTCCGAAGGAACCAAACTAAGTGCTAAATGACCCTAAACCGAAGCCTTCGTTTGTTACAAAAGATTTGAAAGCCATTTTGAACAATCGCAAAACTGCCTTACCTGGTGCATTTTGTACTCCTGCACGACGTCAGATAACCAGTCTATAAGAATTGAACGCATCTCCGCGTTTATATCATCCTGTCTCGACATATAGTTCGACTTTGGTCGGACCTTCACCTCCCTATCTCTCATGTACCTCAAGGAAACCAGTAATAACAGCTATATACGACCAGTTCGTTTACAAAAAGAATTTCTCTTACCTATATATGTCATCCGAAAACTCAGGATTTGCGAATATAATATCTTCACGTAACTCCTTTTCAGAAACTGCTGTGACGTATTCGTCACGACTGTCTAATTCGAAATCAAGAGCACTTCCATACTGCGAAGATTTCGTGTCATCATCATCATTTACACCAAAGTTCGAGAATTCGGAACGAATTGTAGCTGGACCAGAAGGGACTTGCGAGAACACTGAGAACACTTCCTAAAAATTAGGGTTAGGATCACGAAGAATTTCTACGCTAAAGCTAATATAACGTAACCAACATCGTCATCCGAGTTATAATCGAAAACTGAGATTGGGAGATCAACAAGTGGTTTACGAGAAGTTGTAGGCTTTGGCTGAAATTACACTGTTATGTAGGCATAGGGTGTAGGCAAGTCTTTCAGAGCAGTGACACAATAAGAAGTTTACCTTAGAGACCACTTGGTTGAAAAGCTTTTCCTTCTGGCACTGTTTTTCGAGCTTATGAATTATGTTATTCTCATCCTCGTTATCACAGTAGACATCAAATGACGACTTCACATTTGGAACGACAGATCGAGCCTGTGGGGCGACGGATGCCGCGTCCGGTTGCTAAAGGAAAACCAAACGTGGAAAATATTTAACATCGATCATTTAGTAAAGAAGAGCACTCTTCGTGGCACCTGTCCAATGACAACCACATTTGAATCACGGCCACATTTATGTTGACAATAACAAGTAGATATGCACTTACTGTTGGATGCTTGCAGTCTTTGAGACCTCGACTGTAATCTCCCTTCAACAAGTTGCTTGTTCCATGCTGACGCGTCAATTTGCTAGCGGGTTGAGCACCAATATTCTGATTACAGTGGGCCAGCGACAGTCCAGCACGCGCTGGAGGTGCCATAGAGGAAAAACTGAAACGGACCATAAGAATAGAACAAACTGCTAGTGCAAACCGTCGGCCGTTTACGGTTAATTGCTGGATAAGAGTCAACAACGAAACGAATTCAAGTCAACGATCATCCGGAAAATCAGAAATTATAAACCTCGGACTACAGAGGTCAGAAACTGAGGTCATCCTTACGTTGCAGAGACGACGCATTCCGGCCACATTGTTGTTACTATATCGAAATCTGGACTCCTTTCCTATCTCATAGACCACATATTTCGTTTCTACGCCTGTGATTTCTCTCATTGAAACATTTCTATAAATGAGTTAACTTACGATTAAGGATAAGGATAAAGGACAGAGTTCTCGGTGTTGATTTACCCCTGAAGGCTGCGCCATGCATTCGACTTCATTAACTACCGTTGGAGGTGTCTGAATCCAAAATTGGCCCTTATGGTGACTCGCGATGGTCCACCGATGTATCGAGCCCGTGCTGCTATTGTCCCAGACAAATCTGGTACCAAATTGCCCACCTCGGAGGGATGGAGATCTTGGTGGGCCTGGGGTGCGGGGAACGATCCCGCGTTCATTTCAGGGCGCTTCCGACCACTGCGCTATACGCACCCCTCTTAAAATTTATGACTAAGGAGCGTAAAATAATATTCATGATGTTCTGCTCATTACTATCAGTAACAAAAACACTGAAGTTACTTAGGACACAAGGCCCGACAAAAATGGACTATGTGGTCTAGTGTACATGTATAGCCCATACATACATGTATATAGATATCTAAAACATCTAGCGAACTACATTGAAACTACAGACGAAATCAACGAAAAGGTATGAACTACATGACTGAAAGCTTCACAGCTGCTCAAAGATTTAGCATCTCCCCGCAGCTTCCAACCCTAAAGAGCGTGTGAGCACCATGTCTTGAAGCAAAAAATATGCTACATCGTCGACTGTTTCCAAAAGTTCGCATTCCGATAGCAAACCGCTCTTAGACCGACAAGTCAAATGCGGAGGTGGTGGGAAAGGTGTGGACTCGCAGTCCGGAAGAGCGTAGTCGCCGAGCCAGCGAGTCGGTATGCGTGTGCAGTCAGTGGTCAGCAGAGGCGCAGGGAGTGCGTGGTCCGAGTCCAGTGGGGAGCGCGACGATCGATCAATAGCTTAGCCTAGCCACGCTCTACAGCTACGGCCAGCAGCACATGACCTTAGGTCATCAAAATACCAGTTCGCATTGGAGTCAGCGCGTGTGGGAGCGGAGCAGGACTCCCGTCATAGGCGCATTTTCATGAGAACTGGTGACAGGTTCACGAGCTTGATGAAGCCTCAGCCTGGGAAGAAATCGAGGCGGAAGTACCAGGAAACCTCCGTTGTCAACTGCAGAGGAGTAATTCGTTACAGCCTTCGCAAATAGCAAGAAAACCCATAAGGATAACAAGGTCTGACCTCCTGACATTATTCACACTTTCTTCTTTGCTTACTAAGCCGAGGTGCACAGTTCATAAATGATATGTAACTCAGTAACTCAGAGGTCGCATGACAGCAACATCAGCTATCTGCTTCATAGAGCAGCAACTACTGTACCACTATTATCAGTGCAGGTACGATCTACAACACCTTAGCCCGCCTATGTACAAGATTACAAGGGGCATTGGAATCACCAAGCAGTAGCCGAAATAACACGAGAAATGTTCGAAGACCATTGTGGACTATAAATGCGAAGAAACGAATCGAATGCAGGAAGTGCTGCGATCCGTAAAGTAGATCTCGAACGTTCTCGAGCAGTTCAAACCTTTCACAGCTGTGGCTCGTTCATGCACAGAACATACCTACATCAGACGTAGGAAGCATCTGTCCATTTAAACTCCCATCTTTTCATTACCTTGGAACAGACCTATAGAGAAAATCGTTTACTGACTTGTACAGCTTTGCTTGAAGCAATTCCCCCAATTCTTTATACCATTGGGCTGACAGGAGGTTGGTATAGAAACTTTCGTAATGAAACTCCAAGCAAGGGGGTACAAGTGTACTTCCAACTTCCAAGTGTTCTTAGGCCCGTTTCTTCTGCTTGCAAAGCATACGCCAGCAGCCGAAAGAGAAAGCACACAGAATAAAAACATTGGCGAATGGCCGATATGAATGATCACGAGACCCGCTCAACCAATAACCCTGCCCAATCGATTACAACGGATTGTACATGGGACGAAAGACTTCAGACGTATTTGAATGAGTGGTTCTGAAAAAGGCGAAAAATTTGGAACAGAGTATTGAATCGGATGTGATCATGATATGAGATGCTCGTCAGTAGGGTCAAACTGGCCCCGTGTCTGCTCAACGACATGAAGCATTAAGCTGTTTCCTACGGTGCAGGTCCAATGTGCTTAACCATTGCCAAATAAGCAGGAACTATTGGTTATGAGCTCATCGGATGTAAATTCTAAATGCAATACCGCAAGACTTCCTATTAGATCAGTAGAAATTTCTACAAGCAGATAGGAAAATCTACCACTATTTTATGCATTTGTACACGATCCTAAGGTCATAACACAAAAGAAAGCACGAGTGTCACTGGGCTTGAGGCAGACCGAACCCACCAGGGCAGGACGAAAGAGGAAGAACACAAACAAACTGCAACGATCGCCAGACTTTAAATATGATTCGAATTTCGAGTTTCGCGGCAAATGGGTCCGACGAAGAGCGGCATACTGTGGCCATTCATTCTCGGCTCAGTTTTCTCAATAGGGCACGATTACCCAACCCGCGGCGCGTCCGCGGCGCGGTAGATAGGGGACGATGTTTTGGTGTGTCGGGAGTTATCTATTAGGCTTCCATCTCTATCTTATTCTTTGTGGATGTCCGAGATTTGATTTCTAGGATTACTGGGAACAAGTGTTCCAAACAGCGTACACGTTCTAAGTAGAAATATAGCTTTCAAACGAGCCTATGGCTAGGTTTCAATACGCTGCTTTTTGCCTTTCTCCATGGGTTTGGGTTAGTCCACATTGTTAGGTTATTCTGTTTAGTTGCAGTGGTTAAGCAGTATTACCCGTAAGATTTATCTCGTAATTTGATGATATGGTGGGTTTTGTGTTGTTTTGTATCCCTACAGATAAAATACGACCACCCAAATAACCCATGTATATGAGCAAATGATGCAGCGAAGGTTCCCTGTTAGTTGCTTTGATGGCTACTTACCTAGTCGCTTCTACAAGGGAACTTATGCATTTCCATCGAGACTACTCGTTGGTCTCTAAGTTTAACCTTGAACATTTTTCTGTGCATTACAACCAAAAGGACGTTGAGATGTGAGTCGAACTCAGACCCTCAGTTGAGGATGATGTTTGGTTTGGAGGATTCATGATGAAAATAGGTTAAGGAAGAGCTCTCATTATGCCCATCATTCAGCAACCCACGAGCTGTCGATTGCTCGTCGAATTTATGAAAATAGACATGTCTATTGAAATAGTGTTTAGTTGAATCACGTTTTCTTATTGTAAGTGAAAGAACTACAAAAAGTGACGTATGAAGTGTCCCATAACATAAGCAGCTGTGGCTATTCACTACGTTTTCATGACTTCTTAGGTACAAGCGAACCAACAACGACGCCTGGATGGCTTTCAGAACTGGGCTGCACAAAAGGGTTACGTACCAGCAATGTTAAGGTGCAGACCATAAAGAAATTTAGAGGTTGTTTACAAGAAAATGCTATTGACTGATTTCTTTCTACCATGTTTTACCAAACATATTTAATCATGAAACGACGAAAACGAGCTTCACAGGAGACGATGAACATCATTAATGTCTCCAAACCTTTGGAAGAAGGTAGTGTCCAACATTGAGAGCTATAAAGTCATTCACCTATGCAGCTCAGTCGTGGATTCGTCCACAACCACGTCGACGACCATGACAGAATCAAGAACTGGTCGACGAAGAAGTCTCTTTTGGAATGGTACCTATCCCTGAAATTTTGGTTTGAAGTGGAGTACACACTTGGACATTTGAAGAGGATTCTTTCTTAGCAACTAGCTGGATAAAGAGCTTGAACAGCGCGAAACACTGGTGGAACTGGTCATAACAATGAAAGAATTGATGTAAAAGGATTATTTAACAGAATAGAAAGATATCCTCCCTACGGTTTACCGCCTCATTGTGACTGGGAGGTGTTTCTAGGTGTAAGGCTGCGATGTACAGAGGGGAATTCATCCCCTGACAGGGTCTCCCAAACTGAGGAGTCCGGCGTTTCTATCAGGAAGCATAGCAAAGAGTAAACCAATAGAGGGAACCACTACCGTCCTGGTATCAAAGTTGTGTGGTGGGAAATCTCCCTTTGATCCACAAGGGCTGCGATTGCCTGTGGTGGTGAAGACCTGGGGCAGGCTTTGGCCACACTGACCTCGGGATTCCAGGAAACCACGATGGTTTAACTAGAAAATCTCCGAAAAATGGATGTTATGCTGGAGCCCGCACAACCAGTGAGGATGGGCCATTCAAGTGCCAAGTCAAGAAGGATATATGAATATATTCGGAGGAGACCTACATCGTGGGTGAACTTATTGGTAGCTCTATTTCACTTTGAGCAGTGCGCGACTTCGGAAAAGAGAATAGCGGAAAACGGGTCGTATTCCGCACAGCGATGGTACCACTTCTATTGAGAATGGTCTCGGGAGGTTGAAAACCGTCCAAGGTCGTAATAGCCGACGTGGCCTCGTTTTTGGTCTTGCTGAGACACCGTGCTTGGAATGCCGTTCTGGATTTCGGTGAAAGAGCTCCACTCAACCATAGAAGGCTCTGCATGATCGACTATACTTTGATAGGCGCTTTTATCACCATCATTGAATTACGTCTATGTGCTTTTAACATTTGAAAACAGACTTTTCTTTAACCTATGTATGACTTATCAATATGCATTCCTTCTTTGATAAGCCTACACGACTTTGATAAATGATAGTTATTTTTGGCTAAAGCTTCGACGTCTTCGTCTTCATCAGAGTCGATGATCCGAGGCGATGGTCCACAGTTGTTCGTCTTATCGATGTGGCGTCGAGTCGGACCTTGGTCTCGAGTCGATGTAGACGAAAACGAAACCTTAGCCAAATGTAAGCATTATTAATCGAACTCGTGTAAACTTATCAAAGAAAAAGTACGTATGCGCTTTTATTTTCTTTTTTTAGTTTTTCTATGCACAATATTCACTACTTCGCGGCTTTTTGCGTTTGCAATAACTATGTGATCTTATGAACTGCCCTTGTTGAGCTGGTGCGTGGTTGGTATTCTGTAGTAGTTGTTGTTGTCGTTGGTGGTGTATGGCTGACTTTTCGGCGATTTCGCCTTCTTCGGAGCCGAGGTGTTACGAGTGGGACTCCGTACCTGTATGCACTTGTATGGCATGACCTCTTCAGTGTTTAGGTTAAATAGTCGTGAAGAATGCTTGGAAATGTGAGTCGAGGATTGATCACGCAGTCAACCTACGTACAAGCGTGTAAGTGTTCATAGTGTCTAATTTCTTTAATTTCACTAGAAAAATGTGCAGTAGGACGAAGTCAGCTGAACTTCCATGGAATGGAACTATTTGCGCTGCTGAACAATGCCACTTTTGTCGTTAACATTAGCGAAGTTCTGCAAAAGGTTGGTATTAGAAGGCAGCACATTTGTCCCATCGCGATGTAGGTCTTCGTTACAATTGTTGTTTTGAAGTTTGAAGAGTTTGGAAACATTTAACAGTTTTGTTTCCTCAAAAATACCAAGGAGCGATGATTCTGAATTTCAGTTTTTTGTTAAGGAATTGAAGCGCTTTTTTGTTTTAGCTCTACATAGTCATTTTCTCTTTACCTGAATAACCTCTGAGAGGAAAAAATTTCAGGCAGGTTTATAAGAGCAAGATGGGAACGAGGTTATTATAAGGATTTATACCACCGGAGACAACTGATTGGCGCTGATCCACTCATGCATCGATCTTCTTATCCTAATTGGTACAGTTCGTCTCTTTCAAGTTTTGTAGCTCTTTTCCGATTGTGTTCTTCTTCTATCGTTCTTTTGTGGAAACTTTCGCAAGTTTCTATTCTTCGTTTAATATTTCTCTGCTGTGTGAGAGATTTAGTGTTCGATCTCTTCATTGTTTTGGAAACTCTGTTCAACAATGGGCACCGATCGAAACGTCTGTTGACACCACTTCTGAAGAGTACCAGCACAATTATTCTCAGATGCAGGACGTTGTAAATGATTTGCACCAGAAGGTAGCAAAGATTGTGGAAGGAGGTGGAGAGAAGGCACGTGCACTTCATAAAAGCAGAGGAAAGATGCTGGCACGGGAACGGATAGACATATTGGTCGATCCAGCAACGTCGTTTCTGGAGTTCAGTCAACTTGCCGGATTTCAGTCCTACGGGAATGAAGAAATACCTGCAGGGGGTATCATCACTGGAATTGGATCCGTGGCTGGGCGCGTTTGTGTTATAGTGGCCAACGATGCAACAGTCAAAGGAGGAACATATTATCCAATAACAGTGAAGAAGCATCTTCGAGCTCAAGAGATCGCCAGGTAGTTATTCAATTTCATGGGTTTTGATTGTTGAGTTCATTTTTTTCTTACATGCCTTGTATTTAAAAGTTCTCCGTTTGGGAATTTACATGAGGATTTTGATTAAATAAGAAAAATACTATACCATCCAGAGAAAACGGGCTTCCGTGTATCTACCTCGTCGATTCTGGAGGTGCCAATCTGCCTCGTCAAGCGGACATTTTTGCCGATAGGGAGCATTTTGGGCGAATTTTCTATAATCAGGTAATGCATTAAATATGACGTTCATCTACTTTTGCTGTACCAGTGTGTAATGGTGTATCAGGTATAGGGAGTATCAAAGGCGAAAGTTTACCTTCACTTGAATTTTCCAGGCCACTCTCAGCGGACAGGGCATTCCACAGTTGGCCGTTGTAATGGGAAGTTGTACTGCAGGAGGAGCATACGTACCTGCTATGTCAGATCAATCAATCATTGTGAAGGGAAGTGGTACTGTTTTCCTTGGAGGTCCTCCACTTGTCAAGGCCGCTACGGGTGAAGAGGTATGATTTCTTGAATAGTATGTATCCGTTTGTATTTCGTCGGGTCCCATACAGCGCAGTGCTTAGAAGTGTCTTGCAATGAACATGCTCGTTTGTGGGATCAAGCGCACTAGTTTAACCAAGATAAATAAATAAGGATAAGTCATGACCAAGGATACTTCTTGTCCTTGTGAAGATAAAAATTCAGATGTAAATCATTTGATGATTTGCACTTGACCATCTATCGAGCTGGACGGCTCATTATTGTATTTTTTGTTTGTTTTTGTAGATTTTGAGCACTTTATAGTGTCGAAAAGTTACTTTACTTGCGAATGAATCGGGACCTCACTTTGTACTTCGCAATCTTTTCGACCATCCTCTATCCGCCAACTAGAGTCGAGCCTTTGTTTTCGAGTAAATATCTTTTTGTCAAGTGCATGTTGAAAATACTTTTTCGGATCAGTAAACTAAAAAGAGGTTGATAAAAGGTTATTTTCGAGACATTAGCCGAATAAACCTATTTATCAACTGTATATTAGCACAATAATCCAGGATAGTATCGATTATCAATGGCGAGGTTAAATGTCGGACTGTTTGAAAAATATGTTTGTAAACTTTCTAGATCTCTGCTGAAGAGCTTGGTGGAGCTGACCTTCACTGCAATGAGTCTGGAGTAACAGACTATTATGCACAGAACGATGCGCACGCATTGTATTTGGCTCGGAATGTCGTCGCTGGAATGGCTACTTCTGAACGAGCTGTAAAATTTTCTGATTGTAAGTGTTCCATCTTTGATGCCGCCATGTTTAATGCGAGAAAATAATAGGTACCAAACTTGTTCCATGCCTTCGGCAAAGCCTTCAAAATATATCGACATATCAATTTTGTCGAATCTGCTCAAATTTCGCCTATGTTAATTTCAGTTGAAGAACCATTGTACGCAGCGGAAGAGTTGTTTGGTATAGTTGGGGTGAATCTTAAGAAAACATTCGAAGTACGGGAAGTGATCGCTCGAATAGTTGATGGATCACGGTTTGACGAATTTAAAGAAAGATATGGTGAAACTCTTGTCACAGGTGAATTGCTCATTCCGTCTAATTAACCAAGTTTTTCTGTCTGCTGTTACAAATTCTTTGGTTAAATTTCTGGAAACACAGGTTTTGCAAATATCTACGGCCAACAAGTTGGAATCATAGCCAACAACGGTGTTCTGTTTTCTGAGTCAGCAATGAAAGGAACTCATTTCATCGAACTATGCTGTCAACGGAACATACCGCTTGTGTTTCTTCAAAATATAACTGGTTTCATGGTCAGTAGTTTACCTATTTCTAGTCATATCACATTATATACATACATACGTGTATATATATATATATGTGCACATATGTAAATCATGTAAAACACTAATCCAGGTTGGAAGAGAAGCTGAAGCAGGAGGAATAGCTAAACATGGCGCGAAATTGGTAACGGCTGTGGCGTGTGCTGCTGTACCCAAGATAACAGTACTAATAGGCGGTTCCTATGGTGCTGGAAATTATGGAATGTGTGGACGAGCATACAGCCCTCGATTCTTATTTATGTGGCCAAATGCACGTATTTCGGTCATGGGAGGAGAGCAAGCAGCAACCGTTTTGTCAACTGTCCAACAAGACAAGAGAAAACGTGAGGGATTAAGCTGGACAAAAGTTCGTTTAAGAAGTCAGATTAATTCGCATGTTTTGATAATGCACAAACTTTGTTACGGTTATTCTTTAGGAGGAGGACGACGCACTCAGGAAACCAATTGAGGAAAAGTTCGAGAAGGAAGGCCATCCATACTTTGCGTCAGCTAGGCTCTGGGATGACGGTGTCATTGATCCACGTGATACACGCAGAGTGCTTGGTTTATCTTTACAGGCTACCTTACAAAGACCAATTCCAGAAACAAAGTTCGGTGTTTTTAGAATGTAGTTTTGTTGGTACTGTGAAGTCCTACGCTACTGTCGAGAAGCTTTCAGCTTTACTCCGTTTCATTTGCTCGTTATTTGCTTGTGCTCAATTTCTGTTCTGTTTCTTTGTGCTCACATGTCTCATAAGGGGAGCATTATGTGCTGTTAATTTCTCATCATGTTTGCTGGGCATATCCGTCTATAAAGTGTTACCGACGTGTGCTGTTTCACTGTTGTTCTCCTTATCACCTTGTTGAACAAGCATTGTGATGTTAACATTTTACCTGCCCTTCGTAGCTTGAACACAATTGGAAATAGAGCTGTTCAGGTTTCTGTTAGAATGAAATGGGAGGGTTACGAGATTAGCCTGATTTCAGGAACTACGATGCAGAGGTTTATGCATTTGGCCACCGCATTGGCGCTTCGGAAGTGCCACCGGAAACACTTGTGAATGTACGTTCATGCTTCGTTGGAAAGCTTACAAATATTATTCAACCCATCCAGCGGGGAATGGTTGTTAGGTCGACGACAGTTATCGTTCGTTACTTCGTTGTGTCTTTGCAGGCCTTGACGACTGAATCGTATTTTAAACGAGCAGATATTGCAGAGGGCGCTTGTGATGCCACTCTCACACCAACAGAGGAGGCGTATGACGGCAATACGAAGCTGGTTAAGAAAGGTTGGGTCAGAAAGTTTTGTGCACTGTAGTTATTCTAAAGGCAACTTTGGATGCGTTATAGTATTTTTAAGGCAGAGATGAATTATTGCGGATAGTACTGTCATATCTTCGTTGTCATCTTCCTCTTGCTCCGGAGGAATTTATTCAGGCCGTTGCTGAGGAATTGTGTTCAGAGAAACAATTGTCGAACATAGCAAAGCATCTTGGTTGGTCTGCAGCTCTACAAAACTACTATGTAGTTAATTTGTAACCAGTACAGATAATCATATACGAATAAGTTTGTTTAACAGTAACAGATGTAAAGTTTTTACAACATCAAGACTGTAACAATAATTTTAGAAAAGCTAGAAACCTACGGACCTAACTAGAACATATCGCCTGAGATCTATGAAACACAGTGCATTTGGTAGTGTGTCTGAAAATAGTGTCATTTATCTAAATCAACACCACCACTTGTATCGAATATTGTTAGCCTAGATAGAACTATCATAATCTGTAGGTCCTTGACTACAAAAAACAAGTTGTTTTGCCAAGATGAAAATGTCCTTTGGAAGTCATTCGGAACGTACGGTTCGCATGTTTCCACTTTATGAGTCTAAAAGACGTGATGATGTTCTCGAGTTTGTGGTTGATGTTTGCGAGTACTGCGCTTCCGTTCGCATTTTCAGAAATTTGACTTCTGTCTTGGTTTTTTTCAAAATTTTGGTCTTAGAAAGCTAAAGTTGAGGGAATACTTTATAAAAATTGAAGATGCCCTTGGCAAGTAAGACAGAGTCTCTTCTATAGCTCTTTAATGGTCGTTGAAGCGAAAATTTCATTATGCATTTGAGGTGCTGCGCTCTGCTAGGAGAAGCCCTGCTTCTACGATTACTTCGCGTTTCGAAGCAGTATCTTTGTTGAAAAGGAAAAAAGGGATTCATTTAATAATGCTTGGCGTTTCAGTGGTTTCGCTTTCTTCAAAACCTGGAAGGCTCCCATTGACATGCATCTATTCAGCCAAACACTTTCATAATCTAACTAGAAAAAAAACCATGGAAAAAAGGGGAGGAAAGTTGGGGAGGAAAAATTTTTTCGGATTCGGAAAACTATTTTATTACGGTAAACGTCGTTGGAATACTGTCCATACCTTCCATTATGTTAAGAAAAAGTCTGTATCGCTTATTACGTGATAGGCGAGTTCCATAGCGAGTTCCATATGTTAATTAAGTTGTTAAATTGACGACTATTATATTTGAAGCTGTAGAAAGACTGCTGAGAAACTGTCGGTTGCGATTTTACTTTTTCACTTTATGTATAACTTTATGTGTATGACTTTTTTGGTCCATCAACTAGCTAATTGTCTCTTGAATTTCAAATGATTCATGTGTTTTTACAGGTATCGATGTTATTATGCGTACCGGTGAGCACCCTCCATCACCGTCGTCAATTGCCAACACATTTTGTGCCCTACTAGCAGCATTGGGAGAAAAACACACAAAAGCGCTTGCTATTGACATAGTTATACCTCAGATCATCGATATAGACTTCGCAGATGTCTACCCACTGCGTCAGCCCCTCGCCGTTCTTACCGATTTACTTGTTGGGCAAGGAGCTAAGGAGGTAGGTAGGACTTGTATAAAAAGCATTCTGTCGCTGAACTGCTCAGTTTTTTCACTATGTTTCCACGTGCTTTTTCTATTGCTTCTCCACCCACTACTTTTGGTTCTTTATTTTTTATTTATTTCGCGTAATACATTGCCTAGATTTTTAACCCTTTCGTGACGACGTCTAGGTTTTCGCTTCAAGCGCTGTGAATTGAAGTTTTCATGCTAACCGCAATGACTTTAGAAAATGAACTAGCCGCTTTTTACAGTGTTTACTATATAATATTGTCACTCCATATCTCTTTTTTGTGTTCTTATATACATTTTATGACATTTCCAATTCTGTTGTTCAATAGATATAGCGTGGCAACTATCCATCCACAGTTCTGTTGGCTTGTTGTAGTCGTAATTCTAACATATATTGAGCCTACTTTCGGATCTTTATATGTACATATATGTATATATATATATATGTTCGTATGCGTGAATATGTATATGTACATATATATGCACATATATATATACGTATATTTGTAACCATGGACGCCTGTGGGCGCACTGATCAGAGGCGCCCTACAATACACAAGGGATTGATTCCCACTCTCCTGGTCCACTAAGCCTTCCATAAATCCGGGGTCGACAAATTAGTACCAGACTTGTCTGGGAGATTAGCAGCACTGGTTCGTTACATCGGTAGTCCACCGCGAGTCATTGTAAAGGCCAGATATGCATTCAATCACCTCCAAACGATGCTTAATGAAGTCGAATGCATGGCGGCTTTCTAAGGGATTGATCAACGCTGAGAACTTTATCCTTTATATTTGTAACTATCCATTGTCTTCTTGATTGTGACTCGCCATAGCTAGTGGAATAGAAAAGTGACCAATTATTGGTCAAAAATTGGGTCCTTGGTGTTTGAATTATGTAGGCTGAAAGCAAAGTGAACTTCATTTTTAATCGACTCCTCATGAAGGATGGACAAGAAGTTTTTGAAGACACTGAGAATACTGAGGAAATATTTTGTGCACCAGGTTTAACAGTTTGATCACTTTAAATTGGAGGATGAATACAAAAGTAACAACGATAAGGTCAGCGATGAATGATCAAAGAGATTAAGGGATCGTTTAAGTTGTAATTCTGCTTATACATACCATGCTGTTGTGTTCCCAGTTATTCGAAGACACAAATCTGGAAAATTTTCAGTAGAAATTGCGTGGGGAACTGAATACTCGACAGAAATGGTACATGCACTAGGTCCAGATGTCCTTTAGAGGGAGAGTGACGTAATTCCACTTTATCATAATCATACAACACCACAGGAACTATATTGGATACTGGTAGAGATACCTCCAGAAGTGGAACGGTGGCTGAATCTGTTCAGTTAATTGGTACTGGTACGAACCACCCAATTGTTGATGTTTCGGCCCTGGTAATGCTTCCATCATGTTGAGTTATTGATTCAGGTATAAATAACTGGATATTCGGAGGTATTTATTTGGTTGGGCATTAATGGGTCATCAGAAACAAGTTCCCTTCTCCGGAACTTCATCTGCGTAAGATTCAGTCGAATACTAGTCATTGCATAGGTGATGTCGAAGTAGGCGAATATCCATTACACTTGGCTAATACTTACGTTATAAGTATAGTATCATCAGCAAAACGAGGTTGATGTAGTTTCCGACCAAAGAGTTTCATCCCTATGTTGAGCCACTTCAGTCTTCGCATAATGTTCTCGAGAATGACTGCAAAGAGTTCTGGTTTGTATAGGCCAAGCTTTCTGAAGGCATTTTCACCAGCGGTTTGATCGTCGATGAGTTTGAGTGCAAGTTATGGAAGAAATTGAGGATGTGGTGATTAAATTGACTGTTCCACATTTCATCAAAACAAATTAGCTTCTTTCGATTTATTAATGCTGGTTCTAGACGTTCCATATCATCGTGCACCCCGTCGAATTTCGACGGTGATTCTAGAGTGTAATGATTCCGCCAGATTCTTTAAAATTATAACCTGCACTCACATATGTTGAGCACGATAACTTATGATAACCTTGTTTTGACCTAACTGTGGCTTAATGGTTTTCGTTCTTTCTTATTCAATTCTTCTTCATTTACAGCACAAAACTTCTTAGGTTGTACAAAATCCAGTTTTCATTGTGAAGAAGAAGCAAGTCTTTGTCTTGGTCCTAAGAAAGGTTTTTCCAACTCTGAAGGGTGAAAACAGCGCTAGAGTTACACAATTCGAAGTCCTAATGAATTTGTTGAGGACATACTATCTATCTGACTAACAAAACTTTAGGTGTTTCATGTTTATCAGATCAGCAGAATCTTATGTTTAATGATAGTCGGAAATGTCTTCTTATTGATCTGTTATCTTTACTTTAAGTTATTCTTTGTCTATTCATTGGTTATTGCAGATTGAACCAAGAATTCTTCGATCGGCAGGAACAGTAAGTGCGCAGCCAGTATACGTTGTTGGTATTTACAAAGACAAATCGGAGCTTGTTGGGCAGAGTAAATCATTCTTAAATGATTTATATGTTAAAGATGTATGTATGTAAAACTCTTCATAGGTGCCGGCGAGACGCTCGAAGTTGCTGTTGATATGGCAGCTCGTGAAGGATTACTTCGTCTTTGGGAAGTTACAGTTGATAGGTTGATATACTGTTTTTCTCTTCGTAACTAATTTTTAAAATGTCATTTGTTTTTGTTCTAGAGTATTTTCCTTTGGACAAAATGCTGCCGACATTCCATTTGATACATTTTCAATGGAGAACTACTACTTAAAGGATCGTTGTAAGCCCAGGTTTGTATATCCACACCATCTCTCTGATAACTGTGCTTCGTATATTCCTCTTTATATGGAAACTAAGTGAAGTTGAAGTCATTCAAGAATGGTTTCAGTACGGATACTTCTATTTTGTCAGTAGTTGAGAATGAGCCTTTGAACATTGTCGAGGTGGCTATGCGCTACCGGAATAGAGTTGAAGCAGTTGTTGGATACAGTTACACGAAACGATTACGGTACGTGTCTTCAGTGTATTCCTATATCTGGCTATGTTGTTGTTCTTTTACATTTTTGCTAAACTAGTTACGGAATATTTGGTTGATTAAATGCGCTATTTTAGGCACAAATTCTCGCGTGGATCACTCGCTAAAAGGTCGTTTAGATATCTCGTCAAGCCGAAAGTGTATACGGTGTCTTGACCTACCTCTCTGCGGTCCTTCACCTGTATTTCATCGTCCATATTCTTGGTTACCTAGTAGACTTATACGTATATATGTTTGTTATTTTGTATTATTTGTAAAAATTTCGCTCATTAATTAAAGTGCACGGAAGCATTTATTTTCCACAATAAGTTGATCCTTTGTTCTTGAGCAGACGCGGATTTGTTAATAACAAGATTTATTCCATGGTAGCTAACGTTTCGATGGCTTCATCTTATTCGGAGCCTGGAAAACCATTGCTGAGACGTAGTCTATTCGCCCACACACTTTCATAAATTCATTAGAAGGAACTTAGTACATAGATTTCAATAACATGTGGGACGGCTTCATGTGAACACTCACAGTTTTTCAATTCTCTCTGTCACATACAGAAATAATCCAGTGGGTTATGCTACGCTGCGGAACTCGTCGAGCATCATGCCTTTCTTCTGGGGTTTTTGTGAACAACTCTGAACATCGCGCCGGTAGTACTCCTGGTGTGCGTTTGACATCCGGAGGAATATAGTCGCTAACTGCTCCTGTCCATCGATTCTTGTTCGAACACATTACCTATCCGAGAAATCTTCGGCAATTTGGCGTTTAGAACATTCTTGATCATTGACGTAGGTCGGAGCTTCGGTTTCTTTCCCTCACTTATGCGACACGTGTATTCCTAACATCGTCCTTTCGTCTGCGATTTCAATAACGCTGAATGATTTCTCTTCCAACTTACATATCGACCAGATTTCTGACGCATACGTTAAGGCAGGAAGAGTGGTGAAGTCGAAAGATGGCCACGGAATCGTCTGTTCATTGTTCTGTCTGCTACATCCTCGATGCGGTGAGTGCTCTCCAAACCTGCTTGCTTGTTCTTGCACAACTCTGGAGCCAAGTTGTTCATGATGTCGATCTTACGACCTAGATGTACATAGAGCATTAGGAGATATCGTTCTGTTGAGTGAATAGGGCACACGGAAGCAATCGAAGACCAACCTTTCTACAAGCAGAATAGAGCGGCTAGCATTGGCTCTGCCTGGCTAGTCCTTCGCGTCATAAGAACTATGTAGACAGTGAGGCGAAGATGAGGTAATTGTGGACCATTTTCAGTCCCGTATTGTCTTATTCAAATGTTCGATTGACGTTTTTGAGGGTGATGGTAAATAATTTTGGGGAGATGGTATCACCTTGTCTAACCACTCTTTTTCATCGACGTTAACATTGGTATAGAATGATGATCTTCCCAACGGTTTACCGCCTAATCGTGGCTGGGATGTGTTCCAGGGTGTTGAGCCGCGATGTACAGCATGGGGATTCATTCCCCAGCAGGGTCTCTCAAACTGAGAAGAAGTCCGATGTTTCCACCAGGAAGCCCACCTAAGAGTAGACCAATACCAGGGTCCACCACCTCCTTTGTATCAAACTAGTCACTTGATGGCATATCTTTCTCTGATCCACAAAGATGGCGACTGTATGTGATGGGTGACGACTTCGCGCAGACTTTGGCTAAGCTGACGTCGGAACTCCAGGGAACCACAATAACTAAACCAACAAGATTCCTAAGAAGTGGGAATTGTGCTGCGGCCTACACAACCAATGAAGACGGGTCATCCAAATATCTAAGTATGGAGTATGTGGATTGTGGGATTTTTATTTGACCCTCAAGGAATGTTTGTAAACGGAGTAGGGATGCATTGGCTGTTTTCAGAACTTCCGCGACTGCTTCTATATCAACTGAATCGAAAGCTTTCCTTAAATCCCTGTGGAAATGGCCCATCGCACTAAAGCCTTTTCGAAATCCTGCTTGCTCACATGGCTGTCCTTCCAATGTTCTGTCAATACTGTTTAGGATGATTCGAGTGAAAAGTTTGAAGACGATAGACAGCAATCAGATTGGGCGACAGTTGCCGATATCGCATAGGTCACCCTTCTTGAACAACAGCACGGTCTTACTGGTCTTCCACTGAGTACGAACCTTATAATTTGATAGGTAATTTGTAAAGAGCCGACTTAGTATATTGATGAGGACTGGCGAAAGGTTCTTCAGGTGTTCAGATCCTTCCTTATGCAGACCTGGTGCTCGATTTTTCACGGACGAAATAGCACGTTGGGTTTCGAAAGAGAAAATTGCTAGTGCCACATATACATTGTTTTTCGTTTCATATGAAGGTACGATGACGTAGCTGTTGAAGCGATTCGAGCAATAATCGTGAATGATTTCCTCTATCACTTTTCCGGACTCCGTAACTGTTCCGTTTGGTCGTAGGAGTGAAATCATCTTGGTTTTGTAATTGGCGATGCTTCAGTGTGTTATGCAAATGCCTTTCCCAACGTCTGAAGCTTCAACCTTAACTGCTACTCTTCTCTCTTTAAAATCTTTTATCTCATGTTTGCACTCGCCAGCTTGAGTGTTTCTGGAGACAGACGTCTCTCGGTGACTTTCGAACTCTCAGCTTTAATAGCGTTAACGTGAATGTGTCGAGTGAGCCAATCGTATTCCTCGTCTATGTTATTGAGAAAGGCTGTCTCAAGTTAAAGATCAGCATGAGATATGGCGCAAGGTCACACGTGCTCGCAAAGCACTCCTAGCTACGGTTCATTTTTGGATTTTTTGGATTTAACCAGAGCATTTCTAGAGTTTGCGTGCTGATATTTTAAATTCCTGTGCAAAGATAGTGATTTCTATTCCAAAATCTTCATCATGCCTTTGCACCCTGTGCCTCGCTAGTGGAGTGTTTTGTTTGACATTAGGTTTCCGATTTTAGTTTTAGTGGCGCGTGTGGCGCCGCACTCTGCAGCACACACACACATGGGATCGATTCCCGGGCTCCAGAGCACCAAGCCCTCCATCTCTCCGAGCTGGCAAGCTCGTACCCGACTTGTCTGGAAGGATAGGAGCATTGACTCGATACACCGATAGGCCACCGTGATTGATTGCATAGGCCGGATACGCATTCAATCACCTCAAACGATGCTTAATGAACTCGAATGAATGGCGCATGCCTCAGGGATTGATCAATGCCGAGAGCTTTGTCCCTTTTATCTTTTATTTAGGTTTCCGAACTAGCTGCTCTTCTACACGTACGCAGAGTGGTCCACCCGTTTCTCCCACAAATTTGCCCTCTCAAGATTTACAAGAGATCGCATACTTCGTACCGTGCTCATGCAATCTGTGTCTGAACCATCAGTGCAAATCGTACATGTTTGTGTTATACATAGACGTTATGCAAGCCGTCAGGAACTAGGTGACGACTTAATTGGTAGCTCTAAGAATGCTACCTCATTCTCTAGGCCCGTCCTTTTTTATAATGTTCGTTAATACTCAGGCGTAGGTCCCACGACCGACTTTCTATTAGCCTCGGCATTGATCAAGTAGTTCTTCGTAATTTTGTTGAGCAAACGCGAGGTGTTATTATTCTTTATTCACGAATGAGCTGACTTTTCGGCGGATTAGGGCGGATAGGACCCAGAGACATAACGGGGAGGACCTTGAAGTATGTGTCACGATCCTTGCACGCGAATCAAGAACACAGGCGCGAAAAACTCTCGAGGCACTCTGGATTAATTCCAGAAATCCGAAAATGAACCGCAGGGAAGAATGCCTCATTATCACGCGTGATGTAGGGCAGTATATAAGACTGCTATTCTGATGAGTGGGGCGCATTACACTTCCATGTGATTTCTGTGCGGTTGGTCTCTACGTGACATACTTAAGTGGAGACCTCATAGAAAGCGGTGAGTGTGCAAAGCTGTGTTCAATGTGATTGAAATCTTGGTTTAGAGTTTCTTTGTTTGGTTATGGAGGCGTCTGGCCAAGTAGATTGCTGTCAACTTGACCTTTCCAGGCTCTGAGGAAGGCGAAATCCGCCGAAACGTCAGCTCATTCGTGAATAAAGAATAATAACACCTCGCGTTTACTCAACAAAAATACGAAGAACCCAGGCGTAGGTTCGAAAACGCCTCAGGTCTACTAGGCCTCTCATCCATTTGGGTTCTGTAAATTGTTACCAGACTTGTCTGAGCAAGCCCAATTCCTTCAACCTACGTAGGTACACCTTAGAACAGCTATCTCAGAATTCCAGGGAAAATCAACTCGACCAACATTCAGCGACATTCTTGACGAGTACGAAAAAACCCTCAAATTGCAGCCGACCTAACACGCAAAAAAGTTCGAAGACCTTCGCGGATGTGTTGGGACGAAATGAAGGTAGGAAATGCTGAGATCTACTAAGTGTGATACATGGGCAGCCTTAACTTTTATTTGCTGCCTATTCCTTTTCGTGTCAGGGTAAGGTGTGATATGCAACCACAAGGATGCTGAGACATGTGCAAAAAAAAGCTTAGCCTTCGAAACCCGGTTTGTCCTCGCTAGAGAATTTCCGTTGACGGTGATTGTCGATAGCACCGATGGAGTAAGAAGCATGCTGAGAGAAAGGCGGAGCAAGGGCCTCGGTTGGTGTGATAGATAGCGATTAATAGCAGTAATAAAATTCCTCGCTGACCAAGATTGCACTTTCTCGAGACTAAAATGTGTTCTATTTGCGAGCCTTAAAGGCAATGTCCACTCAAACGTCATCCGTTTCTTAATTCCTACATATTTTCTGGCCACTTCATTCCGGTCAGCAGTAGTTGCAAAACCTTTGGATAACTTTGCTAAAGCGTCCTTAACTTAACCTCGACTTAACCATATTTTGTTTGCTTATATATTTATATGGTATTTATTGCACAGCTAACAACGTGTCTTCTTCAGAGCCGATTGATGCGAGATGACTGATGGTCCATCGTTTCGCATTGTAGATCTTCGTAGTCGTACGAGTCAAATCTTCTTCTTCTTCTCGCTAACGAGAAGCAGATTTATATATTCGGTTACAAAAAACTCGTCAATTCGAGAGCCAAGAAACTCATTGTGGACAGTTTCGGTCTCGGCATGGTTTCTGGAGCATTTCTAGCACAAGGATTTATCGAGGTACATTATCGAGGTAAATTGATAGCCCAACACTCGT